CACCAGGATCCTCAGATCACAGTCTCCTGAGTAACTAGCATTACAGGTGTGAGCTGCCGGACCTATGCTTTTCTTAATGGCTGGTCCAGGAAGAGGTCAAGAAGCGGCATGTTTGCAGCGAGGTTTGAGTCTCTGGCTGCTTCTGGCTTGGAGTCAGCCAGGTTGCATTTTTGCCTTGCTCTGCATGGACCAGCGTACATTTAAACCTCTGGTTTTCATCCTGGATGCAAATACCAGCACTTACCTAGAGGAGTTCTGAGAGAGAAACAGAAGGCGATGATTCCAGAATAAAAACTGTGAAGTTGTGGTTTCCCTTCCAGGAAGAAAGGAGAAGAAAACACAACTCTTGTTACAGTGTTTTGGGCTCTGATGGGCCTAGGAAAACAAACCTAGTTAGAGTGGGGCAGATAACTATCGCTTGAGCCACAACTCCACTTTTGGCTTTTTTTTGCTAGCTAATTGGACATAAGGGGTTCTCTCTCTCTCTCTCTCTCTCTGTCTCACTGGTTTGTATCTCTCTCTCTCTCTGTTTCACTGGTTTGTATGCCCTAGGTAGCTTTGAACTGAGATTCTCAGATCATAGACTCCTGAATAGCTAGGATCACAGATGTGAGTGATCAGTTCCTGGCTTAGAGTACAGATTCTGTCTCCTCACTTTCCTCCTGAGGGTCCCTTGGCCCAGGTCCACCAGGGCAACTTCAAGAAGGGATGAATAGCTGGTCCAGGTGTGTGTTGCATGCCTCCTGACTGGAATTTTCCACAAGCTGGGGGTGATGAAAAACACCAGCTTATAGCTTAGAAGAGGCTTCTTGGTTCCAGGTTTGTTTCCCATTGTGGAAAACCCATATTTTTCTTCACGATCTTCCTTTTCCCCGAGGAGCCTCGGCTTTGCCCTCTTACTAATATTCTGTTACTCCTCACCAAGTAAGTCAGGCTCTCTGGGTTGCTCCAAGACACAGCCACAATGTTTCCCCCATGCCCTACCTGTAACTGAAACCAGAGTGTTATACCTGACACTCAGACTCCAGGATTTCCACATGTCAGGTCTGGCTATGTACCCCTTAATACATTGACTAAAGAGACAGAGAGAAGGGCAGAGAAAGGAGATTTAGTTCTTGGTCTGGATATACCACAGGAAGATAGCACTTCAGTTGCTCTTCATCCTTCTTTGGGCTATAGATAAGAGCTTTAGGTTTTTGGCTTTGCTGTCTGTTTGTTAGATTTTGTTTTGGGCCAGTGCTGGGTCTTGAACTCAAGGTCTGGGCACTGTCTGTGAGCTTTGTTGTTCAAGGCTAGTACTCTATCACTTAAGCCACAGCTCTACTTCTGGCTTTTTTTCCTCTTTTTTTTAAGTGCTGGTTATGGGGCTTGAACCCTGGGTCTGGGTGCTGTCCCTCCGCTCTTCAGCTCAAGATTAGCACTCTACCACTTGAGCCACAGCACCACTTCCGGTTTTCTAGTGGTTTATTGAAGGTAAGAGTCTCACGGACTTTCTTGCTTGGGATGGCTTTGAACTGTGATCCTCAGAGCTACAGATGTGAGCCACCGGCGCCCAGCTTGGCCTTTTTGCTAGTTAGTTGGAAATAAGAGTCTCATGGACTTTCTTGTCCAGGCTGGTTTGGAATCACAAGCCTCAGATCTCAGCTTCTTCAGTCGCTAGGATGACAGGCAAGAGCCACTGGGGCCTGACTGAGCTTTAGGTTTTATAGATAACTCCTGGCAGAGAGAGAAAAGTATGCATAATTATTCAGCAGTCCTGGTCTAGATGTGGCCTGGTTAGTCATTATTTCAGCTCTTGTTTTGGGAAGAGTTCTGGAGGAGGTATTACTGCTATTATCCCTGCTCATGATAAGTAGGTCATCTTGCCTGCTGGGTAGCCTGGCCTGAGGAGGCTCTGTTGTTTATTAGGGGTAGTTTCGATCCTTTGTCATAAAGATATTATTGATTAGTGATGTCAGGGTTGTTGGGTTTTTTTTTCTTTCATTTTTGGATTCCAAGATGGTTATAAAATGACTACCAAGAGAACAGCTTAGTCCAAAGATACAAAATGAAGACAGGGATACCAAGCTCTTCTCCTTGCTTTTAGGTAATTCAAGGGCCCAAATAAGTCAGAGATTTAGCTCTGGTTGGTAGAGTACCAGTCAATGAATGAAAGTATCAGATACTAAGTTCAAGTCCTGGTCTCAAAAAAAAAAAAAAAAAGAAAGAGGGTAGGGAGAGTTAATCTTTCTCAGCAAAAACTGGTTTTGAACTCAGAGTCTCACCCTTACTTCCTTTTGCTTGCTTGGTGGGTGGATGCTCTACCACTTGAACCATGGCTCCAGCCCTGCTTTTTTTTAACTGGTTACTTTAGAGATGGAGTTTCATGGATTTTTTTCTATCCCAGTAGGTTTTAATCCTCCTCCATCCTCTGTTACAGCCTCCTGAGTAACTAAGATTACTGAACCACTGGTGCCCAGCCAATGGAAGTTTTTTCTGTTTTTTTTTGTTTTTTGTTTTGTTGGTTGTGGGGCTTGAACTTTGAGACTGGGAGCTGTCCCTCAGCTCTTCAACTCATGGAGAGCACTCTACCACTTGAACCACAGCACCACTTCTGGTTTTCTGGTGGTTTATTGGAGATAAGAGTCTCACAGACTTTGCTGCCTGGGCTGGCTTTGAACCACAATCCTCACATCCCAGCCTCCTGAGTATCTAGGCTTATAGGCATGAACCATGGCACCCGGCTTAGCAGAAGTTTTTAATCACCTTTTGTATAACCCAGTCTCTGAGCCTCTTTTCCTGCTTGAAGGAGCAGCTGGCTGGAGAGGGTTAGCTATCTGGTTTGTCTTCAAGATAAACGACTACATCTCTGGCTGCTTTAATAAACTCCTTCTAGGGCTGGGAAGGTGGCTCAGTGGTAGAGCACTTGCCTTGCATGCTCAAGGCCCTGGGTTCGATTCCTCAGCACCACATAAGCAGGGAAAAAAAAGCCGGAAGTGGTGCTGTGGCTCAAGTGGTAGAGTACTAGCCTTGAGCTGAAGAGCTGAGGGACAGCACCCAGGCCCAGAGTTCAGGCCCCACGACCGGACCCCCAAAAAAAAAAATAAACTCCTTCTAGGTTCAGCCATACAATAGTGACCAACTTTTTGCTGCTTTTACCTTGTCTTCAACATTATTGCATAGAACATATGAAGGGATAGATTAATGATGTAAGATAAACAATCTTGACAAAGACAGATAATTCCATGCTCTTGCCCCCGTGTCTGTGATGTGTCCTTGCTACCCAGAGGATACACAAGCTCTTCTCAGCACAGTACCCAGGCCTTTTGTGAGCTGCCTTGGCCCTGTTTCTGGCTATGTCCAGCCTTCTTCTCTGAAAAACACAAGCTCAGGGCGATAAGATACAAGATCTCCAGGAAATGTTTTGCCTTTCTCTTCCTCCCATTCAGACTTCTACTCTTCCCTTGTCTTCCCCATGCTCTTCCTGCTCAGGGGATAAGGCCCAGCAGAAGCCCTTGACTTCCCTGCCTCCTCTCAACAGCATAACCAAAAACAAACCTCCTTCCTTGCTTTGGTTGCTTTTGCCACAAACCTGTTGAGAGCCTTCAGAATGAGGAATCTCTCACTGCTGTGGTTGATCACTGTGTGAATGAATGAGTGAATGAATGCATGCCTTAATGAATGAAGACCACATGTTCTCATGGATGCGGAGACTTATTCGTGTCTCACCTAGAAAGTGCAAAAGTAGAATTTCCTTCACTCATATGAACATTGGTTGAGGACCTACTATAATCCAGGAGCAGAATGGCAAACATCAGTGGGTTGTGGTCTCTGCCTTCCTGAGGCCCACTGCCCATGGGTTAAGGACACAGTGATACTTGGTGAGGATTCCCACCAATGAACACATACTTCCAAAGGGTGAACTCTCTGCCACAGTAGAGTGGAGGTTTGCCTCAGAGGAAAGGGATATGATCTGTGTGTGTGTGTGTGTGTGTGTGCGCGCGCGCGTGCGCATGGGTGCCAGTACTGAGGCTTGAACGCAGGGCCTAACCCTCTTGCTTGGCTTTTTCACTCAAGGCTAGTCCTCTGCCTTTTAAGCCATATCCCCTACTTTTGACTTTTTGGTGGTTAACTGGAGATAAGAGTTTCATGGACTTTTTTTGTTCAGCCTGATTTTAAACTGTGATCCTCAGATCTCAGCCTCCTAAGTAGCTGGAGTTACAGGTATGAGCCACCGGTGCCTGGTTGTTGTTGTTAAACAAATGGAAGGGATGAGGGCTTGCTGTCTGTCAGTACCAAAGTGCATCAGACATGCCTTCTTCAGGACAGAGCAGCCAGGAATGTGGTCAGTACCATCCAGGAAACCCCACAAATGCTGCATGATGCCAGCACAAATGAAGGCCTTGTGGAGAATATTGGTATGTGGGATTCTGCTTCTTTGGTTTCTCCTCCAATCATGGGTGTGTCCTTCTCCTCTCCCCTTCCATCACTGAGGAAGTTCTCAGGATTGAAAACAAGAGCAAACAAACCAAAAAAAAAAAAAAAAAAACAAAAAAACCAGCCCAAAACAAAACAAAAAGCCAAATTGTGAGAATGGGTCAACTCAAATGCAAACCAGGAACCCAGAAATGAAGGCTTTTGACTTCTATAAGAAGTGGTGATGAAACTGGGTTTTTAGATCCTCACATCCAGGGTCCAGGAGTTCCAGGTTAGTCCAGGCCACTTAGTCCAATATGCCAACTAAAGAGACATGTTGAAGAGCAGAGAAAGGAGATTGAGTATATGGTAGCCATGGAAAGAGAACTTAGTACAGCTTTAGCCATCTACTGAGGTACAGACATGATTGGCTTCTGTTAACTAGGAAGAATTGAGGGCAGGGAATGAGAGAGGTATCAGAGTTAAAATAGGGTCAAGTTCCAGGCATGGCCTGGTTGACCATTAATTAGCTTAGTCTTTGTCTTTGGAAGAGTTCTGGAAAACCTGTTATCACTTTATTGCTGGGCCAGAACAGGAACAAGATGGTCCCCTGAGTTTTTGGCTCTTTTCTTTAAGATGGTAAGAAGAAGGCATTGCCCATTTTAGAGGTAATTTGCCTTTCACACGTGATATTTATCAGTGAATATTCTTTTTCTTGGAGCCTATGATGGTTGTAAATTTGATTGCAGTAGAGAATAGTTAAGGGAACAGATACAAAGTTGGGGGGCTTTTACTTAATTCACAGGGTCCAGCAAAAGCATCCTTTAAGTTGCCTCTTATAGTAAGAGGGTGAATTCCTGAACAGGGTGCTTCAGAAAGTCCCAGATCTTCTATGTTTAGAATCTTCCTTGGAGCTGATCTTGTTTGTGGTATAATTGGACAACTGGTCAAACTTTTTTTGGGGGGAGGGGGGTTGTGGGGGCAGTTTGTGATCTTTTCTTGTCTTTCTTTCTTTTTTTTTTTTTTTTGTCAGTCGTGGGGCCTGACCTGAACTCTTCAGCTCAAGGCTAGCACTTTACCACTTGAGCCACAGCACCACTTCTGGCTTTTTCTGCTTATGTGGTGCTGAGGAATCGAACCCAGGGCCTCATGCATGCAAGGCAAGCACTCTACCACTGAGTCACCAACTTCTACAACAGTGGTAATTGTAGCACTTAATTTTTTTATTTTTATTTTAATTAATTCTTTTCTTTTCTTTTTTTTTTTTTTTTGGGTCCGGTCATGGGGCCTGAACTCTGGGCCTGGGTGCTGTCCCTCAGCTCTTCAGCTCCAGGCTAGCGCTCTACCACTTGAGCCACAGCACCACTTCCGGCTTTTTTTTTTGCTTATGTGGTGCTGAGGAATCGAACCCAGGGCCTCATGCATGCAAGGCAAGAGCTCTACCACTGAGCCACCTTCCCAGCCCTAATTAATTATTTTCATACCAGTCTTGGGGCTTGAAGTCAGGGCTGGGCTCCGTCCCTGAGGTTTTTTTTTTTTTTTTTTTTTTTTGCTTTAGGCTAGCTCTCTACCACTTGATCTATAGCTCCACATCTGGCTTTTTAGTGTTTAATTGGAGATAAGACCCTCATAAACTTTCCTGCCTGGACTGGCTTTGAACCTCGATTTTCAGATCTCAGCCTCATGAGTATTTAGGATTACAGATATGAGCCATTGACATCCTATTATTTATTTACTTATTTATTGATGGTACAGGGGCTTGTTCTCTGGGCCTTGGCTTTGGTCAGTCCGCATGCTCCACTTGCTGCTATTTGAACCACACCTTTGCTGGTTAATTGGACATAAGAGACTAAAGGACTTGTCTTTCCTGGCTGAGTCTGAACCTTGATTCTCCAGATCTCAGCCTCTTAAATAGTTAGGATTTCAGACATGGACCACTAGTACCCGGCTTAGTATGTGCTTTTGAACTGAAATGAGGATTTGTAGTTTTAAAAATGGCATTTTAACTAGTAGAGTAATTGAGTCAGTGATAACACTTTAAATGTATGTGATACTTGTTTTCTTATTTGATCATTATTGAAGTGGAACACTTGGTCACTTTTTTTATATCCAAAGCAATTGAGAATCAGAGAGGTTAAGTAACTTGCCCAAGATCACACAGGTATCAAATGACAGGGCTTCGGCTTGAACTTAGCCAGAGAGGAAACTCTCAAGAAAAGCTGATTGTCATCAGATATTATTTCATCAGATCTTGTGCTTCCTTAGATCATGTTACTTACACAGTTAATCCAAGATCTGTCTTGTGCTGTTAGCTTTTGTTTTTTTAACTAGTCCTGGATCTTGAACTCTGGGCTTGGGTGCTGTCCCTGAGCTTTTCTGCTCAAGGCTAGCATGCTACCACTTTGAGCCACAGCTCCATTCCTGGTTTTTGAGTGGTTAATTAGAGATAAGAGTCTCACAAGGACTTTTCTGCCAGGGCAGGCTTACAGGTATGAGTCACCAACACTTAGCTTTAGAAAATAGTTTCATAAAGTTATGAGCCTGCTCCCATGGGGGGGGGCAGGAGATTTGAGGTGCACAGTGTCCCCTCCCCCAGCAATGGAGAACATAGTGGAGTGACCCAGAAGCTGTGGTTTGACAAATCCCAGTGCAATTGAGATCAGCCCCTTCCCTGACCCACAGCTGTGGGTTTTCTGGGAAGAGCCTGATGCTGAAGCAGCAAACCACTGAGATATCAGAGCCAGCGTGAAATGGCCACTCGGCCAGTGGGCAGGCCGACCCTAAGGGCACCCTGGGGTTGCCATTCAACAAAGCAGTTTATGAACACAGGGCCTCTTAATCAGTGTCACCCCTCTCAACATTGTCACCCATCGATCCCCTACCTTCCCCTCACTCTTCTTAAGTTTGTATTATATAGATTGGCTTCTTGACTGTATTCTCTCCCTCTTCTATGCATTTTTTTTTCTACCTTTTCCCCTTGACTCCACCCTACCCCTTTTGAGTACCCACTTCTGGTGTTATTTTACTGAACTTTGATTTTGCCTATCTAAGGAATGACACTCTTTGAGATCTCCCCCTTTCTGTTTTTGGTGCCTTGAATGAGACTTGAACTCAAGACCTTGAGCTCTTGGCTCAACTTTTTTACCCATAGCTGGTGCTCTCTACCACTTGAATCAAGCCTCCAGTTCCATATTATTTGCCAGACATTTGGAGATAAGAGTCTCATGGATGAGGCTCAACCTGAATCCTCACATCTCAGCCTCCTGAGTAACTAAGATTATAAGGGAGGACACTGGTACCCAGATGCTTCTATTGTTTAGTCCTTCTAGAAACTCTCTAGAGGTGGACATTATTATTATTCCTAATTTCTAGGTGAGACACCAACTTCCTCAGTATCAGGCTACTGCTAATGACAGAGTTGGAACCTGAATCCTGATTCCAAGGCCTACGCTCTAAGCCATGATCTATATTGATTCTTTTAAAAGTAGGATGTGGGAAAGACGATAACTGATTACATTGGTTCATTCACTCATTCATTCATCCAGTAAACAATAACTAGCCCCTACCTTAATGCCAGCCACTGTTAGAAGCTGGATATGGGGAGTGAGAGACAAAGTCTTGGTCTTTCCTCCTGGGACTTTCAAACAATGGCAACAGGACATAGGTAGAAAAGACATGTTCCTATGTGGGTGTTGGTGCTGAGAAAAGGGGCTGATCAGGAGGGGGATACTGGCAGAGTAAATGGAAGTTAGGGTGGGGAAGGCGGGGAGTGTAGCAAGCATGCAGCTTGGGGGTGAGCTGGCCAGAGGCTGGGAGGGGACAGAGAGTCCTTGAATAGCAGCAGAGGTAGACATTGAGCAGAGGTCACTCTGGACGCTTATGGGAAGGGGCTGCTGGTGGACTTATCTCCAGTATGTTAAGAGTAAAGAACCCACAGGCACCCTGAAAGCCTGCCCACAAGGGGTCTGGCCATGCTTTCTCAGGTTGCCCAGCACTGCTGAATAATCCATGGTCGTCAGGCTTGTGTTGCCAGTGAAGGTTTTCAGGCAGCCTCCGTGTCCCCATGGATAGCACTGGCTAGGCCTCAGGTCTTCACTTGGCTTCACCCAGCCAGTCACTCGCAGGGACTCAGCAGTCTTGTTGCTCTGCTCTTTGGCTGGTGACCTTGGCAGCTTTCATTCATTTACTTCTTTTGTGTGTCAGACTTGAACTCAGGGCCCGTGTGCTGTCCCTTAGCTTTGTTGCTCAGGGCTAGCACTCTTATCACTTGAGTCACAGCTCCACTTGTGTTTTGGGGATTTTTAAAAATTATTGTTGTTATTATTTTTGGTGGCTAATTAGAGATAAGAGACTCACAGATTGCTGGCTTCAAACCATGATCCTCAGACCTCAGCTTTTTGAGTAGCTAGGATTACAAGTGTGAGCCACTGGTACCTGGAATCCTTGGAAGCGTCTTGACTTCTCTGGGTTCCTCTGCAACATGAAGTAACTAAATGGTCTCTGTTTCCTTGTGGCCACAACATTGAGGTTGGATGCAAGAGCTTCTGGGAGGGAAAAAAATGAGATAGTGGGTGGTGAGCAGAACAGAGGAAGACATATTCTATCAGCTGAGGGCAGAGAATTTGGAAGGGGAATCAATCTGAGCTCTCCAAGGCCTGGTGACTAGGACTGCATCCCAGCAAGGAATAAACCTACTCAGGAGGCTGAAATCTGAGGATCATGGTTTAAAAGACAGCTGGAACTGGGTGCCAGTGGCTCACACCTGTAATCCTAGCTATTCAGGAAGCTGAGATCTGAGGATCAGGGTTCAAAGCCAGCCCGGGCAAGAATGTCCATGAGACTCTTACCACCAATTAACCAACAGAAAACCAAAAGTGGTGCTGTGGCTCAAGTGGTAGAGCACTAGCCTTGAGCTGAAGAGCTCTAGGACATTGCTCAGGTCTAGATTTCAAGCCCCATGACCCCCCCCCAAAAAAAGGACAGCTGGAGCAGGAAAGTCCATGAGACTCTTATCTCCAACAAGCTACAAAAAAGAAAGAAAGAAAGAAAGAACAAACGAACCAGCGTAGCCCTTCTTCCTCACCATCTCTCTGAATGCTGTTCTCTCCTTATACTGACCATCTTAGAGTCCTCAGAGCAATGCTGTTTCTTGCTAGGTGCCATCCTCATTTTATAGATAAGAAACCAAGGTTCCGGGCTGGGAAGGTGGCTCAGTGGTAGAGTGCTTGCCTTGCATGCCTGAAGCCCTGGGTTCGATTCCTCAGCACCACATAAGCAAAAAGAAAAAAGCCGGAAGTGGCGCTGTGGTTCAAGTGGCAGGGTGCTAGCCTTGAGCTGAAGAGCTGAGGGACAGCGCCCAGGCAGGCCCAGAGTTCAGGCCCCACGACCAGACCCCCCCCCAAAAAAAAAAGAAACCAAGGTTCCAAGGGACACAGTGTCTCTACACAGGTTTCAAGTTGTTAGTGGCAGAGCTGGGATGTGAATCCAGCCCAGCTTGGCCGATTCCACAGCCCTGTGACTTTGTACTCTATTACATAACCTTTTTTTAATTTAATTTTTATTTATTTTTTATTGTGAAAATACTTTACATAGGGGTTACAAGTACATGGGCAAGATAATGAGTGCATTTCTTATTAATC